CCCCAAAACCCCAAAACCCCAAAACCCCAAAACCCCAATATTCTAAGATTCCTTGAAATTATTAAAAATGAAAGCATTTTGGTCAAGGTTACTCATCTTAGGGATCATCACAGCTGCAATCTACTACATAACTCACATGGAATACTTTGAATACAGCACTTGCCACAGATTTGAGTAAGGATTTTTTATCATTTTTAGTCCAGAAACCGATACTGAAAGTAGGCTGAGCTCATAAATTCTAGAAACATTGCTTAATAAAGTCAACGATGAAATACATCTGCCTATTAATCAGCTCACAAACACGAGATTTTTCAAATATTTCAGAGCGAATACACTATCCAGCTGCCCCTTTTGGGAGGCAGAGATGGACTGAATTACCAAGAAATGTGTCGTTGAGAACGTAGATACAAAGGAACTCGAGAAAGACTGGATCGAAGGCAGTAATACTTATTCAATTAGCAAAGCCATCGGTATTTGCATATTTGGATAATTTGTCTAGCTCAACCACTTTCAGATGTACCCCCAGAATTTGAGGAGTATGGGTTTGCATATTACTCTAATTTCTCCAATTTCTGTGCTTTTAAGTTCCATCTGAAATGCAATTTAGAGGATCTCCTAATCAATGGATGTCTTTGGAGGACGAAGAGTTCCCTTTTGCAGATTTATCGCTTAGTAAAGAGGAAGCTACCGGCTATAATGGTAACCCTTTGCTTCCTTAGACCTCTAACTATATAGGAAGTGATATATGGATCAAAATACACGAGGAAAGCTCTTCAAACAATGGTTAGATTTCTTGACCAACTCATAGGTCCAATGGAGAGAATATTTAGCGGGCTACACGCTTCCATCGGCATGCATATATCTCAATACTACGCTCCATTTCGCTCGGATGATCATTATCCTAACCACACAGATTTCAATAGAAGAGTAGGATTTCATAAAGAGAGGTTATCTAATATGTTTCACTTATACCATTTCATCTTGTCAGCTTACAACAGGCTAAGATTGGATATGACTGCTAATAAAGTACAAGCTTGCCTAATCTCTAGTTCGATTATGCTCCCCAAAACCAAACAGAAAATGACCTCGTTAAAAAGGCAATGAACAAATTCGACTCTGTATTCACTTCTACAAGTAAGCTCCTTAACCCAAAATAGAATTTGTGGCATTCCCTGAAGAGTTATTGGGTGAAGATAGACAGGAGTTTTTCGAAGCCCAAACAGAACTATTCAATTCAATTTCAAAGTATATTGACTGTATTACTTGTGAGAGATGTAAACTTCATGCGAAACTACAGGTAGAACTCTTTGCTTGAACTGTAGCTCTCTGGACTATCAGCAGCCTTGAAGATAATGTACCCACAAACTAATCTTGAAGAGCTTTCGAGAAACGAAATAGTTGGATTTTTCAATCTCATCAGAAAAGTCTCGAACTCTATTGACTGGTTCAAGTGGATGGTAACACTATAGGTATCAGAAATGGATTAGTTTCGAGGACACCACGATGTACAACAAGCAGATTATGCTTTATATCTTTATTGCCATCCTTAGCCTCTTAGGTCTTGGTTTGTTTATTATTGCTGGACTCATGGACCAGTCAATCAAGAAGACAAAGAAATACAAAGAATATCAACATCCAAAAGAGTTCAAGGATGTATAAAATTCAATATCTGCTAAAATATATGGGGTTTTGGGGTTTTGGGGTTTTGGGGTTTTGGG